TAGATACTGCCTTAATCAACCATAAAGATTGTGAACTGATAGTTGGGCAATGAAGCATTTTATTTTGTTAGCATTATTTAAGGGGTACATCTAATAAAAATCGTCAATTAAGGGATGATATGTGCACATTTATTCACACATTACTATTCATATAGGTTCCTCCATCTGAGTAGGTTTCTAAGGTTTTTTGACACCCAAACAATGTTTCTAACTCCTAATATTATGTTCTTTCTAGGAAAAGCTGTAGCACCACTCTAAAAAACCAAAAGTTTGAAAATTATTTTCAAAAAAGGGAGCAGGTCATACATTTTATTGCAAGTTATTTAACGGGTAATTTAATATTGATCAGTGGGTATATTTATTTGCCCTTATATCTAAACACCCCAAAGCTAGACTGTTCAGCCCATTATATTTTTACCCATGACAAACGCCTAAATGTGAAAATTGCTTTAAAAACGGACTGTTAACATGCGAACTCGAGAAAGTAGATTTTTTAATTCGGTAATCAGTGACTTAAAAAATGTTTGTTTAAATAATCGCTTTGTTTATTTGTTTAAAGTTGAATTACATGTGTAAGTTAATTTGCTGCTGTTTTGTAAAAGTTTATCTGTTGCGATAATGAGTTTATCGCTGCATAAAGCTAATTCAGTTTGAAGATAAGCAGGTTTCGCCGATAAGAAAACACAGGTGATTAATTTATTCGAAGACGCGCATGAATCTTGTGTTTACTTATTGTGTTGTGTTTATCGAGCAGTTATCGCTTATGTGACGCCTTTCGTTAAAGCTTAACGTACTAAAGTATTAAAGGGAGTTCTTTCTACCATCAAAGAGCCAATATTACATCTGTAATTACAACGAACTAAGTATCATCAAAATCGAAATTTAAGTGCAATCAAAGAAATGAATTTCCAAAGTATCATTTGGCGTTTGTGTTTGTGGGCCATTTAATGCAAATCGCGGTAACCACGAGATATTTTGGTATATTTGGACTTTACCGTAATTAATATTTATTTAATTAATTGTTTCAGTCAATCGCTTGTTGGGCGGTATTTGCACTCTGCTCCTGAATGTCTATTATTTTTATTTCAGCCTTATTGATTGATTTTGTCTAATAAATTTGTTTCATCTGTAAATGTCTACGTTGTTTTTAATCGAGCACAATTACCTTGGAGTAAATTAGGGATTGGGGTGGATTACATTTTTTTACCATTGTCAAACGTTAATGTGGGTACACATTAAGGGATTGTATTTAATGTTTGTCTAAATGTTGTCTCTTAATATCAATGCTAATTTTAAGACTAAAAATTTATAACATAACAAAACTCTGTAGATTCTCACTCCCAAATGACACGACCAATGATTTAAGCCCGTCAGGATAAATTATATTGGAAATTTGAGCTAAATATTTCAAAAATTGCAGGAGATATAAAGAAACGTTTGCCGACCTATTTTCATATGAACCTCTAGTCCTAAAATAAGTTTCAGAATTAGCCTATCAATATTACATGATATTTAGAAACACTCTGTATACACCTTAAAAGGAGTTTTTAAATTGGGGTGATTTACGTTGTGTGATCGTCCTACTGGATTAAGGAATTATATTTGGTTTTGTCTCTGAATATCAAAAGGGGATTTTTATGAGAAACTGCGCAAGGTAAAAGTTAATATAAGGCAAACTTCGAAAATTAGGAGAAAAGTAAGGTAAATTAAGGAAATATATTTTTATTAATTTTTTTGTGATCGTTGTCAAGGGTTAAGGGGTGCAGATTATGGGATTTGGTTTTTGTCTAAATTTCAAAAGTGGATTTTTATTAGAAACGTATTCTAAAACCAAAGTGGGTAAATTGCAGGTTGGGGTGGATGACATTTTATGATCATTATCGAGGGTTGAGGTAAAGCGGATTAAGGGATTGTACTTGGTTTTTGGTTAAATATCGTCTCTTAATATCAAAAGTGGGATTTTATTAGAAACCGCGTAAAGTAAAGGTTGACATTTAAAAGTAAATGTTGACATTTAAAAGTAAATGTTGACATTTAAAAGCAAAGATGGTAAATTAGGGGTTGGAGTGGATTACATTTTATGATTTTTATCGACGGTTGATGTAAGATTGAACCAGCCTTTAAAATCAAGTTTGTGCTAGTGCTCGTGCCAAAATTTGTACTGACTGGAAGGATCAACAATGGAAATCTGAAATTAAATCGACCATCATCAATTCCTACCATTTGTTTACTCATACGAATAAAGTATACGTATACTGGAGGGCATTCCGTACCCCCTAAACTCCCTGGTTCCATTTGTTTACCCAAAACGACTATTACTGCCTCACAGCACTCGCCCTGTACATTTTGGAAAGGGACACCCTAGTATATTAAACAACCAATGACGTTAATTTAATTTCTTTTACACTTTAAAGCACTTGTAATTAATTAATTTAATTCTAAATCACTTTTTTGGCAATATCAGTCCATAATTTCGTACATTTCGGACTAGTATGTTGGGTGCGGAAAGGAAGAAAGTCCTCGGGGGTTAAAATATTGCGAGGGAACGTAGAACTGGAGAGCCTGGGGAGGTCTTTATTGTATGCGGAAACAAATATGATTTTTTTGCTGTTTTTACCCAAAACGAAAGGCAAAAGTTGTATTTTATTAGAAACCCTTCATAGTAGGTACTTTAAAAGCAAAGTTGGTAAATTAGGGGTTGGGGTGGATTACATTTTATGATTGTTATCGACTGTTAAACTTAAAGTAGGGTTCATTAAGGAATTGTATTTGATTTTTTCTACATCGAACACCCCCCAGCGGTTTATGGTGGCGCCCCTCCAGTCCCAAGTCATAAATTATCAATATTCTGCTAAGACGAAAATGTCTTGCAACTTCTGGCTGTTGAAACAGATTTTAAAGGTTTTTAATTTTTCAGTATCTTCTTCCAGGACAATGTTTTTTACCACCAGTACGTTAGTAAAGGGAGGTATTGCATTAAGGTACAAAATTACCCCCCCACCTTTTGAAGGAAATACACGTTTTAAAGCACCAGGAATCCGAATCAAACAAAATCTCGATTATGTCGGTCGGTCTGTCTGTACTTGGATTTAAGCTAAACGGCTGAACCGATTGGAACCAAATAATTTTTATTAAGAGCAAAAGAGATCAAATTCTTGCGCAGATTTTTTGAAAAGTTCCAATTCCAAGTGGAAACAGAACACATTTTTCTCTGTAACTTTTGAAACGTTAAAATTTATGAAACAAACAAATGTACGAAGAGAAATCTTTTCGAAACCGTTTTATCAAATCGGATCCAGTAAATTTCAGCAACATTTGATAGCCTCAGCTCTTCACCGAAATCAATCATTTTGGAACTACACAAACAAGCTCGATGCCAATTACTCTAAGTGGGAAACTTTTATCTTAAAATAGTCCGAGGTCTTCCACGTGAGTACGTGCCGAACGGAGTGTACTGCAACCGAATGTCAGAGAAAACACACCACCAATAATTATCGCACTATTTGTTTACGTTATAAGATTATTTATAGGTGAATTACACTAACGGAATTTTAAGTATACGGTTTTGGGTGTAGATCCTCTACAAGCTCTTCGCGTTTAACATCTGCATAACTCAATTAGAAAAAGTCTGTAGTACATAAATTCAATTAAAATTACTGTTTTCATATTCGATAGAGACCGAAAGAGACGTGGCCATCTCGCTCGGGTCGGTCGGAATTTGATAACCCGAGGGTTGATGGGATGCACTTTTTATCTTGATGCCTTAAGAAATGTTAAATGTACACATCACGCTCGGCTGAACGTTTGGAAGCCAGTCGCAGCGGGCGGCCGTTACAAAATTGGATTTTATTGTACAAACAGTCGAAAGAATCGGAGATTTTTACTTTCAGCTAATCGCACGAGCTCTTCGGGGGAACAAAAACAGTTAATGACGACGTAGGTACCAAGACGGAGGCCCCTTTTTGTTCGGGTCTAGACCAGAAGTTGATCACCTCGTCAGATATCGAAGACAATGCCATTTCCTTGTAGCTACCGTGATTTAAACAACACGAGATAAGTGGTAGTGCTGAGTTATGTTCCTTCGAGATATCAATGGGTCGGGTTATAAAGAAAAATCGCCCCACATTACATAATTTAACATTCTACGCTAGAGTGACCATGTTGCTACCTAAGCAGGCGTTTGCAGCTTGGAAACATTAATTTCTGGTTGGTACTCAAAATGGGTACGTTGAACTTACAATGTAACAAACCTTGTTACGTTTTTTTTTTCTCACTCTCAATTACTGGGTGGAAGGTATCGACGTTACCGATAAACTTAACGGTTAATAGATAACATAATCCTATACTCTGAAATATAATCTTCTCGTTCAGCTGCCTTAGGCTGACGGTCTCATGGGTCAATATCCACTTCAATGAAGATTTAAAAGAAGCATTCAGGCCGAACCGGGTCTTCGTAATACAATACCGTCTAGAGGCCTGTGCCACCGAGAAATCAACCGAATTTATCTAACACTAAAAGCATCTCAATGCCATGTCAGGGGAATACAATGGTGTCTCGACCAAATCAAAATTAACCTTCAAACGAATTTTATAGGGCAAACCCGATACATGAAATTCAGGACGGTTTCGTTTCTAACTCACTTTATTATAACTTTCACTCCTAAATAAGGTATAAGAAACGAGACTTTTTAGGGAAATTTAGAAATTTTTGTACTTTATTGTTATGATTATGAATTGTGCCTTATATGGAATTTGACGTACCCACGCGCCTGGGTATTTAGGACAAAATCTTGGTGACAGACCAAGCACCTGCAGTGATGAAATTAGCGAAAAACTTACCATTAAAAATAAATTACGAAACCTCTAACATGCATCTTACAAAATGATACCTTGTCAATCACGAACAATTTTTTTTTTGTCTAAGAGGCCATTAAAAAATTATATTTTTGTTCGTGAATGCCGACCTTTTTTTTTAAGGAAAAAAAATGGTAATTACTTACATTATTCTAGGGCACTTGGAGCGATTCTTCAAAACCTGTAACAATGAAATGATTATTATTAGTTTATTACACTTGGACTGCAGTAATTTAAGGGACGATCAAATTCGATGTTATCGCCGCAATTACTCGGCGGAATTTGTACTGCAAACAGCGTTTATTATTAATTGTCTAGACGTGTTTAAAGCAAATTTTTCCCTAGAAAATTCCTAGGGGGCCAACGTTGCAAATTTTTACTGGTGGGGAAATCGGAAAAACCTAATTAATAGTCGATTATATCGGATTTTTTAAAATTCTGGGACACTTGACCATTTATTGATTTCTTTCCGCTGTGGGATTTCTGCCTGGTTTCGGTAAACATGTACAGGGTGATTAAAATTTGTGGCTCACCATAATAACAAGATACAGTGTAGGTTAAATGGGGGCAAAGAAGTCCCTTTTTGTGACTAAAAAACGCTTTTGAAATTATGAAAATTTTTTTGAAAATAACATCACGGAAAAACTGAAAATGTCAAATTTCGTTTTCCCTAGCTTAAACGGTTGGAAGTGGACGATTCCCGTTAGCACCTTCTATAGACAATCTAAATCTATTTTCAGAATTTCCATAGCACGCTAGATGTATGTAGAAGCTACAGGCGCCATTTTGGATTTGTACGGAATGAGAGAGAGAACAAAAATAGAAAAATAATGAACGTTAACGTTTTGCGAGGGAAGGTAGTACCGAGGGGTCAGTGGGGTGGGGGAAGAGGGTTATATACTCCCCGTATACGTAGACTTTGTTCCTATGAGCAAGCAAATTTGAAATTTTGAAAAGGAATATTACCATTAGGGGTACATTTTTACCGCTGAATTTTTACCACCACACTTTTTTACCACTACCATTAATAAATTTTACCACCGGCTGATAGGATAGGTTTCTTTTTTAGCATAAGATGAATAGTTTTAAAAATTCGATACAACTGAATACCGAACGATCCTCGAGATCTTCACGCATACATCATTTTTACAATATACCTTAAGGGGTTGATCTTGATTCTATCCCACCAGATCAGCATAGCTTGTAAAATAAATTTTTTGAATCGGCATTAGTTTTACTTTTATTGGAGGTGCCTAGATACAAAATTTCATTTAAATATCTTAACAAATAAAAAAATTGGGGTTGCGTAAACACAAAAGTTGGAATGCGCATGCGCAATATTTTTTTTTAATATGCGTAGCTGCCTGAGGTTTAAGGAATATTTACTAACAGAGAAAACCGGACATTCATATGTCCTCTGTAACAAGAGTTATAAAAGAAATCCTTTTTGGAGGTTTGGGCAGTTTTTGGGCTGTAACTTTTTGGCCCGTTGGCCTACGTAGCCAAAAACAACAGCGACCTTTCTTATATACTGAAGAACATGTGCATCCATTTTCAAAGCGATCGGACGTTTCTACACAAAGTTATCGTGCACACGAACAGACAGACAGTAATATAAAATTATAAACGATATCGAGGATCGTTAATAACTTAACCTGGTAATACAAAAGGAAAGATGCATTGATAAAAATGGAGGCGAATCGAATTGTGCCACTACAAGCTTGAAATAATGAAATTTCATGATGATTGAGTAGATAATAATAATAATAATAATCTTTATTTCCTGTGGACACATAAAAATGTATAGGACACGTCAGTAACAAAAGATCATGTTTTCCTTTGCTGAGGGGCATTCCATACTCCGCAGGTCCCCCGGTTCCATGTTTTCACCCAAAACCACCGATTGAACCAGGCGCATGTTGGATGTGGAAGAAAACGAGATCTCAGGAGATAACGTTTTGCGAGTACCGTAGTACCCGCGGGCCTGGGAGTATGGAATACCACCCAGTACACGTAGACCTTATTCCGATGAGTAAACAAATCATTTCATGATGATTGTACAGAAAGGCTCTTCATTTGTACCACTTGTACGTGAGGGAGGTTTTGCATTGGGGTAAAAAACGACTCCCCTATTTGTTGACGACAATACACCTTTTACAGTATCAGAAATCCGAATCAAACAAAATCTCGGTAATGTCGGTCTGTCTGTCTATCTGTACCCTCATTTTCGGCTAAACGGCTGAACCGAATGGAACAAAATTTCAGAGTCGAAACGCTTTTGGGCAGAATCGCGCATGCGCAGGTATGCGGGTGGTATCTGTGCTAGCCACAGCAAATTTTTTCTTTGCCTCCCAGACCCCCCGGTTTCATGTCTGTGGGGTATGGACTACCTCCCAGTCCCAGTATACGTAGACTTATGAGCAAACAAATGATCTCATGATGATTGTACAGAAAGGCTCCTCATGTTTTTCTTGTTGGGGGCGACGTTTTGCGAGGGAATGTAGTACCAAAATGATTCCATGATGATTCTGTGGAGGAAGACCGTGTTTTCCTTTGCTGGGGCCTCCCAGAGCCATGTTTTTACCCAGTATGAGTGTTACTGCTCCATAGCTCTCACCCTACACAAGGGACGTGTGAGCTAGGGGCAGGTTGATGTTGGTTGTAGAAAGGAAGAGACCTCAGGAATGTTGCGAAGGAACGTAGCACCGGGGGGTCTGTGCTTACACCCTCCCCCACACCCCGTAAAATCAGCTTATAAGTTCTCGAATTTTACGTTCCCTTAAAGTTCTAGTCCAGTACCTATCCCTCAAGGTAACGAATTTCCTTCACGTGCCCTCCTGGAGCTTTGCTCAATTTCTTCTTCTCTGAGTTCTCTTTGAAAGCGTGAAAATTTAAAAATCTTCTGGAACCACTTTGTAATTTTCTTTTAAATATTCCTAGGGTTATTAACAGTGGCATAGCGTAGCTCGTTGGCGCCCGGGGCGTGATCAAGGTTTGCCGCCCTATATTTTAGGAGCTGATCGAGGAACTGATGAACATTTTGAGTTCCCTATCGTTTATTTAAAAAAAAAGTGTATTTTCACAAGATTTTTTTTATAGTTTCATACTTTTAGCTATTTTCAAAAGCGCCCCGGGATATTATTGGCAGGTATGACGCTGCCACCCCTACTAAAGTGGCGCCCGGACCGGACCGCCCTTCCGTCTCCCCTACGCTACGCCACTGGTTATTAGTAGAAATCGTTTTGGAAACAAATTTTTCTAGGAATTTATCAGAAATCGTCTCGAAAACATGCTGAGAAACCAATACTTCCCAAAATACCATTGAAACTGCGTTCAATTATTTTTTTATTAGCAATCGTGCCAACCCTCAGAAACCTCTGTCCAAAATTTTTAAAATCTTCCTATGGACAATCTCCTAGGGAAACTTAGAAGAGTTTTTAGAAAGGTTCAAAAAACTACTTTGAATTATTTTTGAAAATGCTAGTGTCGTCTATTATCTTACCAGAATTTCTGTAAAGATTATCTCTAGCGTTTGTGTTCTAACTTCGGATTCTACACAAGTGCAATGCAATTTGGTCCAAAAAAGGCGATGTGCAACTAGTTCAACAATAATTGACGTCACTTTAACTTGGTAGTTGGTTGTAACAAATCTTTCTAATTGTAAATGACCTTTTTGGCACAATCAGCCTTTAATTTTAATTTCGTAGCGACTTTTGAGGCTACAATTCGCCTTAATTTAATTTAACGCGATTTTCTCACTATTGATTATTATTAAGATACCTTTACAGAGAACTTGAAGAATAGGTAGGTATACAGACCGTTGAAAGTGATTTTTTGTAAGGGGACTTGTTTATTGTCAAACGCGGTTTCTAAGGGATTTTTTAATTGGCGGAACAAGTGACTTTTCCAAAATTGCTCTGTAATGATTTCATTGTGTTCGAACTGTTTCTAAGATTTATCAAGTGTAGGCGTCTAATTAGAATTGCAAAAGTTTTGTAATGGAGGGCCAAGTTCGCATTAATAAACTCGCACACAGAAATTCTGCACGAAACGAAGTAGGGGCGTCTCTAAACTGTCAATCTAGCACAAAATTTCGAAACCACGATGACTTGTACCTTTTTCGTACCGTGAAAATTGTGAGCTGTTCGTTGCGAAAACGAGAGGGTCACATCAAAAACTATATTTTAAGGCGTCGTGTTTTTAAGTCCCGTCTGACTTATTTAAAGCCGTCTCGTCATCGATAGACCACATCTAATCGTAGAGGCGCCCCAGTAGAAGATTTTAAAATAAAAACCCACCAAAAACCATAATAACGAGACACTTCGACACAGATCTTAATCGAACTGTTTCAATATTTATAACGCCCTAAACTTGTTTAACATTAAGGTAGCGAGGACAAGGCAATTTATAACGCCGTACCTCAGACAATATTCGAATAAAAGTGAACTTTCTAATTTTCTAACGGAGTTTAGTACTCTTAATGAGCAATCCTTGGCTCGGTAGTCTTTTGGCATCGGGGCACAAAAAGCGAAAAAAGAACTATAATAAATCAGAAATAATCGAGGCACCAGCTGTGTTACACAATGCATTAATTAACGTTCAATTATAATTTGAAAATGTGTAGGATCAGATTTAATAAATTAAGATAAGTAACGGTTAGTTTTTCCATATAGGCCCGCATTTTTTTTTTCGAAATTAAATAATTGGCTGCCAATCTTAACGAGTACTGCTCGAAAAAGGCAATAGACGTACAACTTTCGGATGTGAAAATATTTAAAAATAACGGTCGCTCTGTGGGAGATGTCACAGATGCTGAAATTATTCACGTTGCGTGGTCGCAATCTACATCCACCTACGGTTAAACACTTCAAGATCAAAGGCCGAATCATTGCACCTGTAAAGATCTGCTTTAATTATATCAAGAAATTATCCAAATCCGCTGAAATCGGTTTAATTCATTTTGAAATAATGTGTTGTACAGTCCGAATCTTAAAAGAAAGGTTTCAACGTGGACCAGAGTTACCAAACCTTTTGACATATCCCTAAATATTCTGCAGAAGTTAGCTTCAAAGATTCTATCACTCTTTATACATGTATCAAGTATTTTTAGAGACTTACTGATTGATATCCTAGTGGTTACCACCTTCAGAGATTATTATTCAGTATTTTTGGGGGTGAGGG